CTCCATATTTTACGAAGCATTTAATTATAATGGAGCTAAAAATCAGGGATGCTTTTAAAACCATGGGTCTGACATATGGAACATGAAGAACAGTAATCAGATTAAGCGACTAATCAGGATGACCCACACAAGGACAGAAGCAGTGTCTTCTCTAGGTCAGGCTGCTGAGTGTGCCACCAGTTCACACGTCTCCCTTCCCTATCTACTAACTTTGAACCACTTTTCCAGCCATGACTGAAAGAATACTTTGGGAGAAAAAGAGGGAAACTGCTTTCTGTGAATTGCTTTTCTTATTGTATTTTTATCAAACAAGGAGAGTATGATAAATGAACTCTTAACAGGTCAGAACCTTAATATCCTTTATGCTTATAAATCCTTGCCTCTCTGCTTCTCCCCATCCTGCATCTGGGAAAAGATATCCAACTTCTTCAAGAATTCTTCTTCCCCGAGGCACACACCATGTCATCAGTCGACTTACCCTTCAGCCCTTTGCAGCCAATAAAATATGTATGACTCCAAGGAAACATGCCATTCCACACTGTATCATGAACTCTGGCCAGGCTGATGTAGGACTCAGAAGTAAATAAAATCTACTCCTCCTATTGGAAGGTACAAGGCACTACTCAAATATTTTGATAATACGATACCAACATGGTACTCCTTAACGTGAAAATGTAGAAGGAAAGTCTTAAAGGTGGGCTTCATCCCAAATCACTGATGCATTACAACCAAAATACTATCTTTTTAAGTCCCCTGGACCAGTTTATAAAAAAAAAAAAAAAGGATGAAAAAGAAAAAAAGAATCACTTTAGAGAGATTCTCCTTAATCTTGGAGCAAAACCAAAAGTGAAAAAATAACATAAAGAAAAGCAAACACTATTTTTGTTTTGGAAAAAATAAACAAGAGAAAATGAATTCATTTGGTACTCAAAGAAATATCTTAGTTTTCTTGCTCTCTCCCATGTGTGGAGGCACTGCTTCAAAGTGACTCAGCTTGGTGGCTCAGGAATGTAATGCAAAGTGCTGCAGAGAAGTCTTTCACTTTAAAATGCAGAAGTAGGGCCTCCCTGGTGGCACAAAGGTTAAAGTCTCTGCGCGATCTCCAGCCACTGCACCAACCACTGTGCCAGCCACTAAGGTATGTGTTAGACCCCCAGCCAGGGAGCTACCCACATGGTGCAGCAGACTTTTCCTGTCTCGCCCGCTGCTCCCCTCAGCAATGTATTTCAGTAGATCCACCTGTTCTGCTCCTCACCCTGTCTCTGGTAAATCTCACCCTCCTTCCCCTGTGTCTCTGGCCTACACACCATTTCTTGTATGCATAAATAAAAATATTTAAAAAAAAATAAGAAAGAGGGCCTCCCCAGTGGCACAGCGGTTGAGCGCTGGGTTGCGAAGCTGCCCCCAGCCTCTGCAGCGCCGGTTCGATCCCCGGCTGCTCCCCGGCCACCAGAGGAGGGCCCCGCATGGCGCGCAGACCTCTCCTGCCGCCCGCTGCTCCCCTCAGCAGTGTACTTCGGTCCTTCTGCCTGTTCTGTTCCTGCTCTGGCTCTGGTGAATTCTCTCACCCTCCCGCACTTCTGACTGTACCCAGTGCTTGTATAAATAAATAAATAAATCTTAAAAAAAAAAATAAGAAGAAAGAAAGAAAAACAAAGCTGAGGGAGTGCTGTCGACTTTCCAGCACCCTTTCCTGGTCTCAAAAGCTCAGCAGGGTAAGGTAACATCACCTTAAACTTCTATGCTACTTACTGTTCTGGCAATATTATACAGCTTCTCCTTCAGTAAACTACCCCAGCAAAACATTTCAAAAGGATGGGAAAAGAAAAGATATAAATTTCTGATACTGATTCTCCTACCAACTCTGACATTCATAAGAACAGAACAAATCAAGCCCAAATCTAAACAACAAAATAAAATAACCTCTTTAAAAATATTTCTTGCAATTAGAAATTCTGTATCACATTGTGAAGTACTATATCAACTCCAAAACACAGAATACAATGGAAGAGGCCAGGACCTAACAAGACCTGTGGCCATAAAGATCTTGACCATGTCAACTGGTCACCCAAGGACAACGGTGGTATTTCCTAGTAGTGTCCTATGTGTGTTTTTCACGATGATTATCAAAATCATAGTTCCACTAAACATAACTTTCAACAAGTCTTAATCTTCCAAGAGCACCAGTAAGGCCTAGTGGGAAATGTAAAAAAGGCAAGGAAAAAATACCTAAGCTCTTATCATGTTTACCTGTTAATTTGGGAGATTTTAAACAAAATACTGAATGTGTTTTTCCTGTTCTTCTAGGTAAAATGAAAGGAGTCAATAAGATCTCCTTTAAGCCCCTTTTTAAAGGGTGATAAAAACATTGTTGCATTGTCTATGTAATTCCCAGAGTGATAACGTTCCCCCCAGGATAGCAAGGGAGGTGTCTGTCCCTCTGTTCCCCAAAAAAGGAAGCAGTGGTCAAGTAAGTTTCAGAATAAGGCTTAAAACTGGGCATGCTTCCTTAGTCAGGACTTCTCAGAGCCTTTCATCCAAATACACAAACAGGGCCTCCCTGGTAGCGCAAGGGGTTGAGATGCAACCTATGAAGCAATCCGCAGCCACTGCAGCACAAGTTCAATCCCTGGCCAGGGAGAAACCCACATGGTGCGGCAGACCTCTCCGGGCTCACCCACTGCTCCCCTCAGCAGTGTATTTCAATCCATCTGCCCGTTCTGTTCCCCTCCCTGTCTCTGGTGAATCCTCTCACCCCCTGAACCCCTGTACAACAGTTTTTGTATGCATAAATAAATAAATCTTTAAAAAAAAAAAAAGCAAATACACAAACATGTCAAAATTCTTTACCACTTTGATGAAATCTTGAAAAAGGCACAGTAGATCGGAAAATATAGGGGGAAAAGTCCAGAAACACACAGCACTGACACTGCCACAGAAGTGCCAAAGAGGCCCGAAAAGGAAACAGGGTCGCCAGCTTTGTGTTGATAACTGTGGACCAATACTTCACCTTTGCGACCTTGTGCTCAAGCTATAAAATGGAGGAAATATACCAACTTCCTGAGATAGTTAATTATATAAGATAACATGCAAGCCTGACACAGAGTAAATAATAAATGTTAGCTTTTATTTTTTGTTACCCACTCTGCAAGGTTATTTTAAGCATCGATATACACATAAGTTATAGAACTTTTGCCTGGCAAGTACTAAACACTTGACAGAGATCATTGAATCGAGTATGTATAAAGTCCTAATCACAGGGCCTAGCACAAACTCAACCTGAATTCAGAAAAGCAATACAAAATGCCACAATGATTATATGTACGGAAGATTACAGCATCTTAACATTTCATTATAACACTGTGGTTCTGCCTACAACAATTCACAATGACATTTCCTGGGATGGTAACTATAATGATATCTGACCCTTGCTCAGTTGGTCAAGAAAAGATTACAGGGGCCAGATAAGTTTCAAAACTATTAGATTGAGCAAAATTAGTTTTCTTCCTTCGGAATTTTTCAGAGCATGTAGGATAAATCTTTAATGTCTAAGAAGGGAATATACATTTCCCAAATGTGTTTAATTAGGAAACTTTTTCACTAAGCAGCTCTTGGGACTAGTGTTCTTGGAACACAGAATGGAAACTTTCCTAACTCAATGGAAAAAGCATGTAAAGTTCTTGCAAACCATTGTGTCTTACAATGGGGTACAGAACAGGTTTGCAACAAACTTTTACTGTACAAAAGGGGGCAATATTTTATCATAGCCCCCAAACATTTAATCGTGGAACACCATTCAGTTGTTAAGCAGTGTCTATGGGGTTACTATGCCAAGAAACACACTTGGAGAAATGCATGCTTACAGAAATGTCATCCTCACTAACTAACATGAACTAAACAGGAACAGAATCTAACAAAGCACTACCATTCCCAAGCAATGTTCTAGCCAGAGGTACTTACTGTTGACCTGAAGGTCATAATGTTAACCTCACCTGGTTGACTACCCTCCACCCATTTGCTGGGAGCTAAAGCAAAGCCTAGGAAGTGAGGAAGCGTTCACACTCAGCTGGGCTTATGTAACTCCTCTCAATTTTCCTTTCCTCCCCTAGCATCTCCAAGGCAACACCACTAGCAGAAAAGCTGGGAAACGAGACTTATATAGGCACCTTCTCTGTTTACTAGAAGCACTGACAAACTGCCACAGCTCTACCCCTATTCACCCTTTTTCTCATTTCGCCTCTTGCAGCAGTTACCTGCCCACCAGAGTTGCACTTTTTACACACAAAGTACATCATCTTTTTCTGTTACATAATTTCATCCTTTGAGAGAATTTAAACTATTGATGTAGTTTACGTTGGCTTTGAATGTCACCGTTCCTTCTTTTAGGGACACCCTCCTAATGTATAATGTATCTTTTCCCCTCCTAGATTCTCATTCCTCCAACTTCCAACTTGCATTATTTGCCTCAAGTTGCACTCAAGCGCCGGAATCAAAGGCTCCTCGTTCTTGGTTAACAGTCTAAAGATGAAGTGTAAGGATCAACCCATCCAGAGGGGAAAGGCAGCTATTTCAAAGGATGCGAAGCTACAGAGCTTTACATTTATACATAATTGTTTTGTAATTTAAGAACGCCCAGAAAACGAACGAGCTCGAGAGCCCACACATACGCAAGTGTAAGCGAATCACCAAAGTTCTCACCAACGTAACATTAAGGGCTTTGAGCGTTCGTTTAAGGGGCCCTCGCAGGAAAGGGGCTACCGAAGTTCGCGGAGGGGCGGTCAAGGCAGGGCTCGGGCGGAGGACGCGGCCCTCGGGGCCGCCCAAGGCAGCCGTCCGCCGGGCCCGGCTCCAAAGGGTCTCGCTGCAGGTGCCTGTGTGGGCCGTGCGGCCCACTTGGGCCTGAAATTCCGTCGCAGAGCCCCCACCCGGAGCCTGGGGTCCCCTCGAGGCCCTGAGCCTCGTCGCCGGGACCCCCGGGGCTGACGGGGTGCGGCCGGTACCTGGTCGTAAGGGGACTTCTCCAGCATCTGCGTGCACAGATCGGCGCAGAGCTGGAACTTCCTGCGCCTAAAATAGCTCCAGGCCAGGAGCAGCGGCTCCATCTCCGAGCCCATGGCTGCCCCAGGCGGCCCGCGAAGGGCCCGGGCCCAGACTGGGCGGGGAGCGGGGAGCGGGGCGCAGAGGCGTCCAGGTCTGCCCGGCAACGCGCGGCGGCGGGGGCCTTTCCCTAGAGGTGGCCGCGTCGTGCCTGAGAACAGGAAGAAGAAACCCACCGAGGAAGAGGCCAACTTCAGGGCTTACCAAGACTTGGTACAAAAAAAAAAAAATTACACTTTTAGAGGCTACCTATTCTGTTAACTTTGAGAAGGCACTGTGGCTAAATTTACAGGCAATAACTTAGACACCTCCAACTGGGGACTTGCACCCCCCCCCAGAGGAGGTACGGTTGCCTAGCAGCCGAACGGTCCGCTCACTCCGCAAATGGGAGATCAGTCCCCGGAGTTGACCCTCCAGCAGGTCACTGGTATTTCTCTTCCCCTTCACGCGTCCTTACCCCTTTCACTTACCCTTCTGACTCTAGAAACACAAACATGAGAACAGTTCCTTCAATGCCATCCCACGCGTCAAGACCCTAAGGCCTAGAACTCCCCATTCTGTTTCTTGACATCTTTCTCACGGAATCTCAATGACCTGATTGAAATGAACACTGGAGATTGCTTAGTCCAATCCGTTCATTTCACAGACAAGAAACGGATAGGCTCAAAGAGGAAAAATTGTTTATTTAAGGTCTCATGGAGTCAGGCAACTGTATTGCAATCTGACTGCAGACCAATACTGTTTGTTAATTCGACCATACACCGGGATCCTGGTTCACAAATAGTTGACATTTTCACCAAACACGATTATTTTATGCAAAAAAAATTTTAAAGGACCTTTGTGAAACAACATCTCCAAGCCCTTGCTCTTTGTCAAATGTTTACTTGTACAGAGTGATTTCTTCAGGCATGGCTCTGACATTCCTCTAGAGGCTTATACAGAGGACAAATAACTTTAATGGTTGTGTAAAGAGAATTGTAACTAGGCTAATTCCAGCTAGTCAGGGTTTATTCATTGTGGAAGACTTGGAGATCTTTTTTTCCTTGTTTCCTTCTACTAAGGAAGAGAGGAGAGAGAAAAATTAATACTGAAGAAAGAAGAGGGGGAAAATGAATACTGAAGAACTTTTTGATCAGATCCAAACTTCCTATATAGATAAGAAATAAACTGACAATAGCCCCTAGCAAAGATAATTTTTTCAAACCACTAGGATACCATGTTTTAATCCAGAAATTTCTGTGTTTCATAGATAGCAAAATGAAATTTACATTTCTGAACTAAGAAATGATTTGTGAGTAGTTTTTTCTCCTTTGCTAAGCAACCTTTCTTGAACTTTTGCATCTTGGAAACCAGTAATTATCATAATTATGGTTATTACAGTTATGTGTATTGCAGTTGGTCCATTTGTGTTTCCTGGAAGTGCCTCTGGAAATGTAATCTGCTCTAATACAGCAGCTCATTGTTCTAGAAATGAGATTTTTAACACCACACATGCTCGCGATTGGCAACTGGCTCAATATTTCACAGGGTCCATTTGTCTTCTGGTACAATGTAAGCAGATTCTAAGTCTAAGTTTGGGGCCACATTTGACATATTTTTAAGTTATTATTTTATTTTAAAATAGATTCAAATTTATGAAACATTACAAAAGTTGTCCAGAGCATTTCCATACTCTCCTTATCAATACCCCCTATTTTTAACATCTTGTATTATCATGGTATATATATGTCACAACTCAAGAACCATTGCTTTAGCCCCACAGTTTATTGGGATTTCAGTAGTTTTTCTATACCAAGATCCCACTTTGACTATCATGTTAGATTCAGTCATCTTGTTTCCTTTGCCTTCTCTGGTCTATGACAGTTTCTCATAATTTCCATGTTGATAATCTTGACAATTTTGAAGAGTGCTCATCAAGCATTTTGTAGAATGTCTAGGGATCTTTTAAAAATACAGATGCCCATATTTCATCCCTAGAGATTTGGACTTAAATGTCTTGAGGTAGGACTGGAGCATTAGTAATTTTAAGTTTTCCAGGTAATTCCAATGGGCAGCTGAGGTTGAACAACCATTGTGTTTGGTTCTAAATAGCCCTATTTATATTGAGATATTTGCAAATTTCCTAGAAAGAAACAAGAGTTTCATAAAAGAGATACTTACATACAGACATATTTATGAATGCATAGATAAACTTTGTAACATTTTTATAATTTCTTATGCATCATACACAAACCATTATTTTTTTACAGCAAGGTAATAATAGGAAAAATCATAAATATAATAATTCCTGGTGAAGGGGATAGATACGAGTTACTTCTGGAGAAATGAAGCATAGAGAAACAACTTAATCCCTTTGAAAGGGTCAATTTCACAATCAGAGCTTGATATCAGTTGCTGAATCCTTATCTTTTGCTCTCTAGCAACTAGATAGCTCTTTAGGTTAATTGGGTTTAAAATCAAATACCAAACATAATGTAACTTTGAATAGCAAAGGTTAAATTTTCTTAAATGTGAAATCGCACGTTTTCAGACCATTTAAACTTAACCCCCTAAAAAAGCAAAGTATAAAAGGAGATAATCTCTTGGGCAAGCATTTGTGCAGTCCATGTGCTTGCTGATAAGAACATGGAGGTATCAAGACAGATGTCCTGCCCAGAGGGCACAGGTACATAAAGAGTAGTTAGTGGAAAGAGCATTGGACCAGAGGTCAAGCTTATGACTGTGTTTTCTCAGGCAAATTAGGAATCAATATGGGATGGTGATTTCAAAGTGGGTTCTGGAGCCAGATTTCTATATCTGAAACTTTGACTGTGTCATGCACTAAAGGTGGGGACCTTGAGCAAATGGTTTAATGGCCCTATGCCTCAGATATGTAGTGCATCCATAAAGTAATGTGTGTTTACCCTATTATATAAGAATTTTTTTATTCTACTTTAAAGGGCATGGGTATCGATGAAACAATGTTAAGAATGGATAGTAAATACATCATTAACCTACAGAATATGTTAAACATAGGATAAGAAGGTATTTATGTGTTAAACATAGATTGGAAGCATAAGACAAGTTTTATTGAGAAGGAAATGGAAAAGAAAATGAACCTAAAATATTCCTAACACATGGATTAGCTTTGTCTACCTTAAATTGGCCACCCGTTGGTAGCACTCATTCTATACTACTTATGCCTAAAACATACACTGCTGCTCATCAGATCATCATTAAGCTACCACTGTGACCATGTAGACCTGCCTCTTCACCTCTCCAATAGAACAAGCACCATGGAATTTCCATATCAGAACTTTCTTGACTGCCCTCAACTCTAGTCCTTGTAATTAAAATCTATCTGCAGTAAAGGGAGATGAGGCTAAGAGACCACAGGACAGAGGAACATGGAGCAACCCACAGATGCTGTGGTCCTTCCACTAAATGACCTAACCTACCCAGTCTCTTTCCTCTTGTTTATTACTGCAAGTCTTAAGTGGATTTAAAAACTAGCTGATTTGGTCTATGAAACTTTCAGTCTCAGGACCTTTGCGAAAGCCTTCCAGTGCTATGCTTAGAGGTCACTATAGCATTTCCTCACTGCATATAAAATGGAGATGATTTCATGATGATGGTGGTGAGTGATTGTGACTATATTATCAAATGTTTGTGGGGATCAATTCAATTTGATTCAAATAAGACATAAGTGTCTTTTCAAAGAACATAGAAACACATTGGGGTGGAAACTAACAATGCATGCAACCAGGGATTGCCTCAATTCCTACTCAGATGACATTCATTGCCTGCTAGAAATAGAGCTCTTTGAGACAAACCAAAGAAATCAGAGGTTGTTCTCTTCTCCCAGTTCCTTGAGGAAATGCGTGATAATTATCCACTGATATTGATATTGATGCGAACATATTTTTAAATACATATCATGAGATGCCACAGACACCAAGTATAGAACCTGTTTTCAGTCAAACAGACCCCCTTAGCAACCCCTTTACCAGGAACAACTTGTCTCAAACTGCCATGTTGAGACTTCTAGTGAAAATTAAACCACTTGACTCCGCAACTTGGTGACTGCAGAGACACAAGAGACATCTGCCTCACATCGCAGGTGTGTTTGGAGGCTTTTGCCCACCAATAAGGTACAGACATTTGAACTCAAGAAACAATGCACTAAGTTTCATCAAAATGGCTTAAAATCAGACCATTTTCCTGCCTGACCCTTGATTTAAAACTCCCCTATGTCCCAACTCTGATGGTATGCACTTTGGGATGACCTCTTGGTCACGCACCCAAATCGTGATTGCTATTCTCAAATAATTGCCTTCCTGATTATCATACAGACTGATTATTTCTCTCAGGTTGACAGGAGTGAGTAAAGCTTGTGAAAAAATGAATTCGATAGAAGCAGATGGAGGCCATGATGGAAACCTATGAGGGTACCTGGGCATTTAAGACACAGGGCCAGGTAGTTCTATCTTTTGCTCAGGTGGAGCTTCACAAGCATGAAATCATGTGACCAGGAAAGGAGGTGTGGACAGAGACACACAGGTGAACTAAAGCCAGATCATCTAGAATGTGGAATATCATGCAGTGAAGTTTGCATATTTAATGAAAATCTACCAAAGAAGTTTTACCAGGGGATAAAAATAAGTTGATTGACTTAGAGTGAAACAAAGAGACCATTTAAGATTCTATTATGGTAGTCAAGGTGCAAGATGCTGGGGGTAATGGGGATGAACAGAAGAGCCCTCTCCCCCCCAAAAAGTGAAAGGAATGTAATCAATAGGACTTGGCTGTTCATGGTGGGTGGGAGGAGAGAAGGTACCATTTGACTAAGGAGAGAAGGGAAGCTAGGAGAATGCCCAGGATTCCAGGTAGTGACAATATGGGGACAAGGAGGGGAATGGTGGAGGAAGTCACCAAGGTCAGAATGAAGGAGAAGGAATAAGTTGGGAAAAAAGAGATTCATTTCAGTTTGAGGCATAATGATCTTTAAGTGTCTCAAGGACAGCCAGATGGATATGTTCAGTTTATAAAGGCACTGGCTCTGCTGAGGACCTACTGGGTACATGGAAGGTCCAGGGAAGGACCAGCTGGAGTTGAAGAAGAATGATTAAAAAGAGGCTAAGGAAGGAGAGGATGAAACAGACAGTGAGAATA